GGATATAAGCCCGTGCTTGAATTCCACTACGATAACAGTTGGATATACGCCAAGAAGGTCCCATATCCTGTGGCTTTTTTAAATCACATTTTAGTGTGGGTGTAGGGGGGAAAAAGATGTTGCTTGCTTCACCGCCGGTTTTCTAAACGTTGTGTTGCCAGTGAGGACTTCCACACACCTCTTGTGCCTCTGCCTCTTCTCCAGGCCCTTTGAAAACTCCCATCGCTGCTGGCCACCCGTCCATGAATTTGCTGCTCCGTAAAACCTTTGACCTGTATGCCAATGTCCGTCCTTGCGTGTCCATCGAGGGCTACAAGACCCCTTACACGGATGTGGACATCGTCACCATACGAGAGAACACGGAAGGCGAATACAGCGGCATCGAGCACTTGGTGCGTGGTTCGAGTGGGCTTTAACGCCCAGATTCGGCAGGCTGCTCGAATTTAACACAAGAACTGAAAAGAAATTAACTTTTAACTCACCGCTTAATTTGGTTTTTACAAGCTTTTCATAACCTCACCTCCACCCACCCCCTTTTCTTTTTTTTCTTTTTTTGCTACTCGCTTAACCTTTGCGTGTCTTTCAGATTGTGGATGGTGTTGTGCAGAGCATTAAACTCATCACCGAGGACGCTAGCAAGCGAATTGCTGACTTTGCTTTCGAATATGCCAGGAATAATCAGAGGAGCAAAGTTACGGCTGTGCACAAAGCTAATATTATGTAGGTGGTGATAGAAATGACTCCAAGCCTTCCCGATTCTTATTCCAGTTTTCAGAATCCTAACTGCCTTTTTTTTTTTTTTTAACCATGTTAAATTTAATTTTTATTTAATTTCTTTTTAACTTTTGTGTTATGTGTTTCTTTTAATGTTGTACGCCGCCCTGAGTCCTTGGGAGAAGGGCGGCATATAAATCGAATAAACCTAAACCTAAAAAAAAAAAAAATTGTCAGAGAAAGAGAGGTTGTATATTGGAGGCTTATTTTTTGGCAGGCAGATGTTACTCAATTTGAGACTCAATCCCTCTTCTCCGCTTTTCCAAATTAACTCGCTCAAAGGAAGCTTTTATAATTGCTTAGCTACAAGTGATTGATGGCTACTTGTAAATAATCATTTTAAAAAAAAACCCGTTTGTACGTCTGGACCTCCAACTTAACGTTGCTTTTCCTTGCGTGCAGGAGAATGTCCGATGGCCTCTTTCTGAGAAAATGCAGAGAAGCCGCGGAAAACTGTAAAGATATTAAGTTTAATGAAATGTACCTTGACACCGTGTGTCTGAATGTGAGTATATCATGTGTGGTGAGTCGTTTAAGGGGCCACCGTTCTGCTTACGTTAAAAACAACCGTTACCTGTCTTTCTCCTCCAGATGGTGCAGGATCCATCTCGGTTTGATGTCCTCGTCATGCCAAATTTGTATGGGGACATCCTTAGGCAAGTAGCGTTTGGGTCAATTGTGGTCCCTGTGGGTGGAAGATGCGTCCACCACTTCTACTTCCAAAAGGGGCTCCTGTGGTGCGACCTGATTTTGCTTCCCTGCTTCTCAAATATCTTCCACTGCAAAGGCTAATTGCCCTTTCTCCATCCTCTTCTTTGTGTGGTGTGTTTTTCTTTTCAGTGATCTGTGCGCGGGCTTGATCGGGGGTCTTGGTGTGACTCCCAGTGGGAATATCGGTGCTAACGGAGTTGCAATCTTTGAGTCGGTAAGGGGCCTCGGACCCAGCTCGTTAGACTGGCCTTTGGTGGGTGGGTGGGTAGCGATGGGTCAGTGGGGTGAGGATGCTTTCTCTTCGCAGGTTCACGGGACAGCTCCGGATATTGCCGGGAAAGACTTGGCCAACCCAACGGCGCTTCTCTTGAGTGCCGTCATGATGCTGCGTCACATGGGAATGCACGACTTCGCCATGAAAATAGAAACGGCTTGCTTCGACACCATCAAAGACCAGAAGGTAGGTCTTGGCTAAGGTTCGCCAAACTGAGGTGACTTTGGGAAGGTCACGCATTCTGGGACTGAATGTCTGTTTATTTAGGTTTCAGGCCTTCCGTGCCTAAAATCCCAGCACTTTTCCCAAAATGAGTTAGGCATTGGTTAGGCCAGGAGTGGGCCAACTATAGCAACTTTGTGATCAGTGGATTTCAACTCCCAGAATTCCTGAGCCAGGAATTCTGGCTGGCTCAGGAATTCTGGGAGTTGGAAGTCCACAGGTCGTAAAGTCACCATAATTGGACTGTGATGATGGTTTTATCACCCTTTGCTATTTTTACTGTATAAATGATGCAGTTAGCACTATCAATTAAGGTGACAAGATGCCAAAAGTTGCACCTCATACCAGACTCAAAGCAGAAACCACACATTAAATCTGTCTTTCGGTACAAATCTTATAAGACGGAAGCTTTCTTTGTGTGTGTGACCTATAAATTTGATGGTAGAAAAATTAAATCAGGTAGCCTATTCAGTTTCCCTGTTCATAAATGATCTTAAGATCCATGCACAATTAGCAAAATTTCATCTCCCTTTCCCAATTTTAGGTCTTGACCAAAGATTTAGGAGGCAACGCCAAATGTTCGGAGTTCACCGCCGAGATCTGCCGCAGAGTGAGAGCCATGGAATAGAAGTCTTCCCCTGAGTCCTCCTGGCTTCAATCCCTCCCGAAAGGATGCTGTTATTTATTACACGTCACGTCCATTTCCATTGCTTGAATTGATAACATTGTTAGCTACCCTTACATTTCAGACCCTTCCACTTTCCAGAAACACTCCAAAACTTGAAGTATTTTTTTTTCTCTCCCCAGCAGTAAAAAGACACTCCTCAAGCTGTTCTTAAGCAGCTTCCTGGCCTTAAAAATAGCACAAAATTTAAAAAAAATCCTTTGGAAATAGAATTATTTTTTTCATTACTCCTGGAAGCTGCCCTTCCAAAGCATCAAGACTTGAAACTGTGGGCATTTCAAACTCGTGTACATTAAAATGTCAAATATCCAGATTTTAAGGGCAGAAGGAATATCATTCAGCAGTAAAAACTAACACGTTATCCTGTTACAGCTTCAGTATATATATATATTTTACACATCATCCCTTGCTCTAGCGTTTTCCAGCGCGGATCTGTTCTATCAATTGCCTTTGTCTGCTGCTGATTATGAAGGGAATGCTAATGCTTTTTAAAAAAAATAATATATTTATCTCGGTGAATATCAAATATATATATTTTGGGGTTAGAATGTATCTGCAGGCCGTTCGTATCGTGCTTGGAGTTTATAGAGCTTTGGGTTATATTTCAGTGCGCTGCTCTGCAATGAACTGAGTTCAAGGCACTACAGTAAAAAAAAGAAAAAAAAAGAAACCAGAAATGTACTCCGTGTGAGGTGGGGCGGTGTGGAGGACGCTGACGGTTGCTTGATTCGTTTTTGTTCCAGGTGACGTGAGCAAACACAAAATGCATGCTAAGGTGGGAGTTTTCTCCTGTTGCAAGAGGGATCGACGCATGAAATGTCCTTGAAGGGGAATCTGCCTTTGTCTCGTGGGAACAGATGATGGTGGAGGAATTGCAGAGATGCTGGGTACCAAAGCATCGATATTTCTGCTGCTAGCACTTCCACTCCTTAAAAAGATGGAACCTTTCTCTCTTTTCCTTGGAAATTCTTGGAAGTCCCGTTGGCCTTTTACTTACCGAGTCCACTATCCTGCGAACCTTTAAAACAGGAGTGGTCCAACCTTGGCATCTTTAAGACTTGTGGATTTCAATTCCCAGAGAGCCATGCTGGCTGGGGAATTTGGGGAGTTGGAAGTCCGCAAGTCTTAAAAGTTGCCAAGACTGGACACTTCTATTTTCGAATGTCTTGCATTGATTCCCCGCCCAGTTTCTGTGGCACATTCCCGTTTAGTTTCCAAATTGGAGGTACGAGTTACGGCAGGACCACCAATCCAAACAGGACTGCCAACCTCCAGCTTGGTAGGGAATTTTGAGAGTGGGTTGTGTGTGATATACATTCCCATTGAAATCAGACCAGCAAGAACGGCTTGCGTTGCTACCAAGAATTCCGTTCGATATTTTTTACCGGTCAGAAAAGTATCCGTGAGAGGCAGCCAGCTTTATCCTGTGTGTGATTCTGTGCGGTATTTAATGCAGTCACTTTCATATCTTGGTATGGGGGCTCAAAACCTGGGAAACGTATCTTTTCCTGGGTCAGAATGTGTGTTTTGGTTTTTTTTGCAGCTGTCTGTAATAAATGAAAGTGGGGGGCCTGCCATTGGATGCATAACGAGAGGAAAATAAAAGACTTTACAAAGAAATCTCTTGCTTTTTTGTGTTCTTTTAATAAGAAGTGAGGCTTCAAATGCTCCCACAATCTATTTTTGCATCTCCCTCTTTTATCTCTGCAAGATCTCAGACTGATTCTAGAAAGGACATTAAGTTTAAGCATTGGGGTTACAAACAAGCTTCGTCATGAATCATAGAAAGCCTTCAGATTTCTCAATGGAAACTACTAAGGCTGGAGGAAAAAAGAATCTGGAACCATGGAAAAGTCTTTAGTTGAATAAAATAATCTACTTAGAGCCATGTGGAATATGGCAGTATAAAAAGCTTGTAATAAACACAACAGCACCATCTGAACCAATTATCATAGCTCATTGCAGAGTTTTATGAGTACATTGGGGGGTACTTCTAAATTTTTTAAGCCAAACTTTGCTTTACAAATTACTTTTTATCTTTTGACGTATGTTCTCTCCCCCCGCCCTCCTTGAGCTGGCTTAAAAATGACCTTTATCCATTCGATTGAATAGTTCCTGTGGAATTCAGAATAAATCAAAATACAGTTTGCCTTAGAAGTACTTTCAAGGGACAGCTTAATCAATCATTCTAGCCCATATAACTGCAATAGAATAAAAGCCTATGTTAACTGGAATGTATTTGGGAGTTCCGATTCGGGTTTTTTTCTGGTTGCTAAATTGAAAATAAGATGGAGAAGCCACGAGAGTATTATCGATGCTTTCCGCCCAAAATTGCAAAAACGATTTCATACCTTTTCCAGTGTAATGTTTGCATGGGAACAGTTAATGCTTTACAAAAGAAACTTGCAAGATTTCTCCTCCTGACCAAGCGAAGGCGACTCGACTTCAATCCTTGTAAAAAGCTTCGATTTCGTTCTGGTACTTCTCGACCACCGCGTGCCGCTTTAATTTCATCGATGGACCTAAAGTGGGGAGGGGATTGGTCATTAGTAGGTGTCCTTGAGGGACGAATTGAAGGGAAACGATAGGTGGGCTGGTAGATTTCGTGCAATTTTGGTGAGTTTATTCCCTTGCTTCACAAACCCGTCACCTTCCAAAATCCTCTAAGCTCAGAAGGGAAAAATTCCCCCTGCACAATTCACTGTAAACTCACCAAATTCTCCCCCGGAAATAGAGAAATCTTTTCCTAAAATCGCCCACTTCTGGATGCGCTGAGGGTTGCTGGCGGAGCGCCTGTTGACGCGGTCTATGCCGTCTTGCACAGCCCGGTAAACGGCGCGGTCTCTGCTCTGCACAATCTCGGACACCCGTGTGGCTTTGCTGCCGGCTTTTTGGCAAAAGTCTCTGGCTTCCTGGGTCAGGTAGTCGGTGGGTTCCGATGTATCGGGATCCACTGAAGACTAATAATAACAACAACAGAATTACGCGTGACTGTTGTGGCCCACCAGCGGAGCTGGCCGCAGATTCAGACCGTGAGGAGGTTGGGGAGGAAGATGGGCCAGTCCTGGAGTCTGGGGAAGGCTCTGTGTCGGAGGCAGAGAAGGGGCCAGGGCAATATGACAGTTGTCAGCTGCCTTCGGAGTCGGAGATAAGTGAGGCAGATGAACAGCTGGAGCCTGTTCCCAGTGTGCGGATGTGCAGAGTTGCCAGACGAAGGGAACAGCTAAAGAACACGGGTCGACTTGGGAGTAAGGCCACAGGTGGAGGGTGAATGGCCCCTCTCAGAGGAAATAAAAGAGGAGCAAAGGGGGAGTGGAGTTTGCAGGAGACCATTAGTTAGCTTAATTGGTTCGTGACTCTCCGAGACTCCTTGCCAAGTTTTGCAGATCTCGGCCTGGCAGCTCTCCAAGCCAGATAAGGTCTGTGACTTTAAATCCTCCCTGGAAAGACTTTGCTGGATGTGAATGTGCAGAATTCACAGTCAATTAATAAAAGGGGATTTTTTGGCTGGGGAAAGGAGTTTGCTTCACGCTCTTGGGAAGCCTCGGTCAGAACAGTAACCCTTTTAACCATGTCAAGGGAAAGTCGAGTGGCCGCACAAAACCCAAGCTTGGATGGGNAAATATAGAAGCGAAATATTATATACATGTAAAGGTATGATGACATAACAATGCTGATGTAATGACTGTAAGGTGTTGTAGAAGGGGGGGAAAATCTGCTAATTAAACCTGGCTATTTTGGATGCAACAGACTTCTACCCAGATGGGAAATTGATCCGTGCAAATCCTAAGCCGCCCATTAAACTGAAAGTTTGCTATGTTCTCATATGGCGTCGTGCAGAATCTCTTGGCCTACCTATGTACAAGAAACAGTCAAATCCAGCTCAACCAATATCATCTACTTCAGCAAAGGCTATCCAGAACTTCAGGAAGTACCATGTAGGCCCTGCTGCTAATTGTCTGATTTAGTTGAAACTTAACCATTCAGAATCTGTCCAAGAGATCAATTGTTCCGGGGCCTCAAGGAATGCCGGGAGATTCTTGGGAAACGTCTGCACGATGGCCGAAAGAGGGCAGCCTCCATCAATAATGGAGCTTGAAATTTGATACTGAAGTACGAAACAAAAAAAAATGTGGAAGAGAAAACTTATTTTTATGTAAAGATAAAGTTGGGATTGCTGGAATGCCACTCCGAGAATCTACTAGAGAAAGAAAATAAGTAAGGGCAACAACGGAAAGGAGAGAGGAAGAGGAGGGAAAAGAAGAAAGGGTAAAGCAGAGGAAGTTAAGGGAGGGGATGAAAGAGTAGGAGAGAGGTAAGAAGGAGAAGAGAGGAGTGGGGGAAAGGGAAGGGAAGAAGGAAAGAGGAAGGAGAGGAGGAAAGGAGAAGGAAGGTTGAGAAAGCAGAAGGAGTAGGGCTGTTGCAAAACAAGATGGAGATATGGGATGGCAAGAAAGTGACCTCAACTGTGCTTTTTATATTTGTAAGAAGAGTGTGACGAACATCAATATTTAATAGATATATGTCAATAGTATTTACAAGAATGTAAATTTGTGAATATGTCTGAAATGAAAAAAGAAAGCTTTATAAAAAATTAATTTGGTTCTGAAGTACTGGGTAGAACAGCGGTTCTTAACCTGTGGGTCGGGATCCTTTTGGGGGGTCGAACGACCCTTTCACAGGGGTCGCCTAAGACCATCGGAAAATTGCAAAATTACAGTTATGAGGTAGCAACGAAAATAATTTTATGGTTGGGGGTTCACCACAAGATGAGGAACTGTATTGAAGGGTCGCGGCATAAGGAAGGTTGAGAACCACTGGGGTCGAAGCACCTGAGTATTTAACAGCCTGGGCAGCTGAAAGGAAGTGAACTAGGGCAAGGCGATCTCCAGATGTTTGAGGCTGAAAGCTCCAACCACTCTGGCCGGTGGGGAAGAAGTATGGAAGCTGTGATCTCCAAACATCTGGAGGGCTTCAAAACACGCGGCAAAGAAGGCACCACCTTTAATTCTTCCGGTGACGTAAACGAATCCATCCTGGTCCATCTTTCCAAGATCTCCTGAGTGCAACCAGCCATCCTGGTCAATCACTTCCCTGGTCTTCTCCTCCATGTTCAAATAGCCCATGAAGACGTTCCGTCCCCAAAAGCAAATCTCCCCGTTGCCATCCTCGTCTTGGTTGACTATCTTAACGTGGCAGCCTGGCACAACCTTGCCACAGCTGGAAGGAAAAGGATGGACAGCAGAAACAAGAGTGTGTCAAGGATGACCAGACCTACGCAACCTTAGTCTTTACAAATAAAAATCCAATTGTACATTTGCTTATTTTTTAAAATATCGGAGCTCTGGCACACTCAACAGCTTCCAGATGCATCACGAAAATATCTAATACTCCTAAGAGGAAATGGTTATAGAAATATGGGGAAGCAGGTCTCCCTTTTCTCCAATGTTACCTCTGAGCAGTGTTTGTCACCCTTGGCAACACAGAGGTGTGGGGAATTCTGGGGGTTGAAGCCCACATCTCTTTGCGTTGCTGAGGATAGCAATAGCAATAGCAGTTAGACTTATATACCGCCTTCATAGGGCTTTCAGCCCTCTCTAAGCGGTTTACAGAGTCAGCATATCGCCCCCAACAACAATCCGGGTCCTCATTTTACCCACCTCGGAAGGATGGAAGGCTGAGTCAACCCTGAGCCGGTGAGATTTGAACAGCCGAACTGCAGAACTGCAGTCAGCTGAAGTAGCCTGCAGTGCTGCATTTAACCACTGCGCCACCTCGGCTCTTATAACACCGCTCTTGAGTCTCCAAGGAATTCCAAATATCGTATGGGTTTTCACAGTGGGCTTAACAGAGTCGCTACATGAAACCAATGCTTTTATTTGCCAGTTTATGAAGCACAAATAAACTCCATCATCATGACAACTAAGTTTAATACGCTGTAAAAAAGGCAGTCTTTAATTGCAGGAGTCGGAGGTAAAGGACCAAACTCTTACGGGGCGACCACAATTTTCTGTGAAGCTACATTTCACACCCACACCCAGGTATGGCAGGGAAAACACCACAAATCCCATTCTCCCTCCCTTATCTTTGCAGATGGCCCCTAGCCATCACCACCTGCAAGCTAAACTTCCCAAAGTTTCTTTGCTGGGGGTTGCTAAGGAGAATGGGCTGGATCTTTACCTGTGAAGTCGATACATGTGTGGCCCAGAGATGCAAAAAGGACCGGAAGTTTCGCTCATCCCGTACCCTTCGTAAATAGGGATGTTCAGGCCAAGGAAGAAGTGGGAGACTTCCACGGGGAGAGGGGCAGCTCCGGAGAAATGCTTCTGGCACTGGGAAAGGCCCAGGGCCCAGCGGATCTTCGCCAGGATAAGAGAGTCCACCAGCCCCATCCAGAAGGGCTTGGAGTCCCTACAAAGAGGCAAAAAGGGTAGGGGTGGTGGTGGAGGTGAGATTGGGAGGAGCCGAGTGTCCCTTTGTCAATAGGAGGAAGAACAGCTTCTACCCCAGAGCAATAACTATATTGAATTCTACTGTACAGTGCAACATGAATGCAACATCGGGGGTTTTCAATACGATCATAGAGAATGTGAGAGATGTGTGTTTTCGTTGTATTTTTTTTTTTTTTTGGCATTTAATTTGGGTGCAATGTCAATAAACTAAACTAATTTCATTGGCATCCTTCAGTCTCCAAAGACGATGGTTCCGTGCTCTGGAAAAANGCCTGGCAGCTCTCCAAGCCAGATAAGGTCTGTGACTTTAAATCCTCCCTGGAAAGACTTTGCTGGATGTGAATGTGCAGAATTCACAGTCAATTAATAAAAGGGGATTTTTTGGCTGGGGAAAGGAGTTTGCTTCACGCTCTTGGGAAGCCTCGGTCAGAACAGTAACCCTTTTAACCATGTCAAGGGAAAGTCGAGTGGCCGCACAAAACCCAAGCTTGGATGGGTTGAGTGTTGGCTGACTCTAGTCCAGTTAGCTGGACTTTGATCCCAAGACATTGTGTGGATCTGAAAGGGGGTGAAATGGGTCTTCTCATCAAGGTATCCAAGGAAAAGGCCCAAATTTCAAATATGCAACTGAGTATCGGTCAATCGATTAAAAAAACAACCCCCTATTTGCATCATGTACCTTTAAGGTCAGCAGCATAGACAGGAACTTCTTCCGATCACCAATCAACACAGCATTGCTAATAAGCGGCAACTCCTTCCTGACAGCTTCTTCCAGTGGGATTGGAGGGATATTCTCACCCCCAGCTGTAATAATCAGCTCTGAGAAATACAGAACATCAACAGCTCAACTCAAAAATACATCTCATCGTCGTCCTGGGCTTCAATCCGTGGCAGGGAAGATGGACTAGCATCCTTGAAAATGCTTCTCTGTAGCCCCATTAGCATGTTCAGTAAAATCTCAGTGGAATGAATTAGTGCAGGGGGTATCCTCTTCTTCCACCTTACCCCCCCAACCCACCCCCGGCCAAATGTCCATTCAAATCGCAAATGACGTCAACCAAATCACGGTATCATTTGCATCGATCAATGCGCTAGGCAACTTACAGGAATGAACGCCAATGACTACATTTCGTCCACCTCAAAGCACAAAAGGTGTACAATGATTGAAAAGAAATGTGAAAATTAAATCCAAATGCCTGAACCTACCCGGAAACACAGAAATATTGGACAAAAATTTGGAAATGGGTGCAAGAAATTGCAGGAGAACAGATAAAATGCAAGCCCGAAATCTTTCTGCTGGGAATAATCAAAGGGAAATATACAAAGAAAATTAAGTACATATTAACACATCTGCAAACTACAGCTAGAATAGCATTTGCCCAATGCTGGAAACAAAGTAATACCACCTCGGACGAATTAGTGATAAAAAAAACTTTGGATTGTGCAGAGATGGACAAATTAACACTGAAATT